AAAGATTAAGTTAGGGTTGCCTAGCTTAGGATAAGGTTAACGTTATGGTAGGTTAGGTTAAGGTTTACGTTAGATTAAAGATTAAGTTAGGGTTGGTTAGCTTAGGTTTAGGTTAACTTTAAGTTAGGTTTACGTTAGATTAAAGATTAAGTTAGTTTTGGTTAAGGTTAACTTTAAGTTAGGTTAGATTAAGGTTTACGTTAGGTTAAGGTTTAAGTTAGTTTAGATTAAGATTTAAGTTTAGTTAAGGTTTACGTAAGGATAGGTTTCGTTAGATTAAGCTTTACGTTGGGTTAAGGGTTATCGGTAATGTTAGGTTGACTCGTATTATTCCCCCTTCAACACAGTTATCGGTCCCGTTCAGCTGCTTCGCATTATTCCCAGTTCTCTCATGTCCCTTTTAAGTCACACCTTTCTTATTCATTGTCTCCGCCCATCCACTTCTTCCCTCAACTAGCATGTCCATTGCTCCTTTCATCAGTACACGCCCCAGCCTTCCCAGTGTTGACTCGCTCTCGCTTGCTCCGTAATCATCTTCACCGTCAGCTGGTTCCTCATGTGGCGTTGCCTTGTCCTATCCCCAAGCAGTGTTGAATAGTAGATCCTTCCTTCCCCATCGACTGAGGAAATAGCCCCAGCAACTAGTAAATAGTCCCTGGAACTAGTAAATAGCCCAGCAACCAGTAAATAGCCCCATCAACTAGTAAGCATTCCATTAAATATTTCCTTAGTTAAGTTACCCAGCTACCTAACCTCCCTACCAAATTTAAGTTCTATTTTCAAAACGTGGAATTGTATAACGGGCACACACGCACATAATGTATGTACTGTATGTACTTATTATTATTATGTATGTATGTAATTATTATTATTATAATGATAATAATAATAATAATAATATTATTATTATTATTATTATTATTATTATTATTATTATGGTATAGTGGGCAGGTCAGATCAATCACTGTCATTATTATGTTTTAACTAAATGTCTGGAGTCTTCGTCCAGACTCTCTCTCGGAACTGCAGCCGAATAATTAATTGAATTGCCTCATGTTTTAGGTGCTTCAAATACCAGCGTTATTAAGCATCGTTCACTAGGTCATATATATATATATATATATATATATATATATATATATATATATATATATATATATATATATATATATATATCATGTAAATCACAATGAAAACGTGGATAAGATAAATCTTGATAAAATCATGTTTTTAAGGTCAACCTGTATATTTAAGCCTCTCTCTGTCCATGTAATCCAGTTGCTCTGAAGATGTCTTGAATAAAGACGAAAGCTAAGGTAATTCCGTTGTTTCCATTTTCCCGTGTGATTTTATCATATATATATATATATATATATATATATATATATATATATATATATATATATATATATATATATATATATATATATATATATATATATTTTCACTGGGGAAACGTTTAGGAATTCCTGTCGACCCCGAACATCAAAGACTTGAGAAACAATGGCGATGGGATGAAGATGTTTTATGGCCGACATTTAAAACAATCTCTATCCATCGTCAGAATAATAGAGATAAAATGGAAAATATTGAACAACTTTTAATAATTACGATGTGTAGTGAGCGTTGGTGGTGACAATGAACGTTGGTGGTGACAGTGAACGTGTGGTGGTAACAGGAATCATCATATATTCTCAATAATTGGCGGTTTAGTAATTAAGGGGGAATGGTTCTTGGCATTTAGTGTGTCCGTATGTTTGAGTTATATGCTCTGTTGAAGCTCTTGGGTTTGACGTATACACACACACCACTGAAAGTTCATGAGTAACAGTGGATAGTTAGTGCATGTATCGTGTAAGGTAATCTGGGCGCTAGAAAAGGTAGGAATATGCCAGTGTCCAGCTTAAGTTACGTGCTACCTGATCAAACTCAAGTTCCGTGCTACCTGACCCACTCAAGTTACGTGCTACCTGTCTCACTCAAGTTACGTGCTACCTGACCCACTCAAGTTACGTGCTACCTGACCCACTCAAGTTACGTGCTACCTGACCCGTGCTACCTGACCCACTCAGTTACGTGCTACCTGACCCACTCAAGTTACGTGCTACCTGACCCACTCAAGTTACGTGCTACCTGACCCACTCAAGTTACGTGCTACCTGTTACGTGCTACCTGACCCACTCAAGTTACGTGCTACCTGACCCACTCAAGTTACGTGCTACCTGACCCACTCAAGTTACGTGCTACCTGACCCACTCAAGTTACGTGCTACCTGACCCACTCAAGTTACGTGCTACCTGACCCACTCAAGTTACGTGCTACCTGTCTCTCAAGTTACGTGCTACCTGACCCACTCAAGTTACGTGCTACCTGTCTCACTCAAGTTACGTGCTACCTGACCCACTCAAGTTGTGCTACCTGATCTACTCTCCTTATTTGGATCCTGTCACTCACAACGGGCGAGGCTCAGGCAGTGTCTCCAGGTGAAGTTGTTCAGGTATTGTGTTGCGTCACATATGTTTTTGTGGCCATCATTTAGCACGGGCAGCATCTCTATACGTGACTTGGTGACTGACTGAGCGAGGAAAAGTTTGTTGACGTTGAGGTAGCGTTTTAGGGATGGTGTGTATCTGTTCACTACTACAGCTAGCACGTACTTACACATGCAGTCACAGTTATACATACAAAATAGGGAAAAATTAGACTTCAGAGAATTAAATCTCATAAATTTATTAGTATTGAACCCATGATTACGACGTCACATTGTTTATACATCGGCTTGTTGTTTACAAACCCAATCGCCACCAGGAAACACAGCCAGACACTACCAGGTGGTTATCCAGTCGTCTCTCAAATGTCAACACGTTTAGATATCCTTCCTAGCTTGTTACCATCCTCTGGAATTCCACAGATAATATACGGAATTATCAACAAAGGCTTTAATTATTAACCCGTGTCGTGCACGAAGATGTGTGTGTGTGTGTGTGTTACCGGTTAAGCGATATTGTCATGGTTCACCTTCAGCCCACCACATACAGTAATTACATTATAATTATTGGGATGGAACAATAACTAATTAATATCAATCTTTCACTTCCAGCGCATTTAGCATTGGCCGTATGGAATTATAATACAGTATATCATGATTATATATACGAATTTATGTCATGGAACCTAAATTATTGTATTATTGTTATTATTTTTATTTATCCTTAACTTTTGTACTGACACTTGTGTACGCTATCAAATATCCGCCTGTTTAACAAAAGATTATCACGATGGCCGCTTGTAATTAATATAGAATGTTTTTACTTAGAATTAGAAGGCGGTAAGTGAAGGATGACGTGTTAGTAATTTCTAGCTGTAATGGCCGCTTTTCACGAGATAAATGAGGGGAGCGTGGCCCTTAGTTTCCACCAGTCGTTTATTTTGGCGCGCCCCCCACACGCCACCCATCACTGCCCACGCCATCACCTCCTGCCCAACACTGCACTCCAATAAAATCCCACCAGATCATGGCCTACGGGTCAGGATCTTACCGGATAGTTCTCTCTTGAACGAAATCCTGCGGTGCCTTATAGCGTGGTGAGCGTGACCAGATATTCTTCCCGAGTTAATACAAATTACCGCATTAACCTGTTCTGATCATTGATTGATCACCATTGTCCGTCCTGGCACTAATTAATTGTGATATTTTTAACCAATTTAATATTACACAACGAAACACCAGGATTTTATTTGAGCTTGTTGGGTAAATTGTTTACACAAAGAACCTTCACGTAAAAAAATTGAATCATTATTGATTTTTCGTGACTGACTGCTAATGAGGCATTAGGTGTAAGTCAATTCTGGAATTAATTTTAAATTTGGCAAACTTATACTGTTTTGAATAATTTAGAGCTCCAAGCAAGTCATGAGGGACTGGGTGGGGGAAGCTTGTTGTATTTGCTTGTGAAGATTTACCCCGTTGGAAAAAAAAATGGACGTGGCTCCCATGGGCACGACAGAAATTTATTGGAAATTGGGATACAGCTCAGAATACTAAACTGGGGACACAAAGAAGCAGTGTGTGGCATTATACTTGTTCACCTTCACTTTATCAACTTAATTAGGTGCTGTACAGGTATCCATTCACAGCTTGGTTGACTGGGGGTGTCTTGGGTGCTAACTAGCTACCCTTAGGACAAGTGCTGTGTCCACACCTCTTGAGAATATAGGTGTTATTATACCGCACATATAATATTTTTAATGAATGCACAATATTATCAGAGAGATATTAGATTTTGCCTTTTAACCTGGTAAGGCATTTTATGCCTCAGATCCTTTCATGACACTTCTTGAAAAAATAACAATATCATCCTCTCCCCCTTGCATGCATGAACACACGCGGAGTCATTGTTGGCATGGCATATACATATCTGACATTTCATAAGATGATATACTGTACTGTAGTCTTGAGCACACATTAATGATATCAAATGTACAACAAGAATGTCATGTAATCAAATATACTTTAAATATGATGTTAATTCACTAAGGGACAATACAATACTGCAATTGCATGCATTGAGACATCATACAAAGTAACAAGATCTGAGACTTAAAATCCGACAGGAATAATCTTGTTATAAAACCATTCATGCTGATGTAACTCTGTTGTAATTGGCTATACTGTTATGTCCTTGTCAAAGTATAAACTTACCATAAACAGAAAAATTATTGCAATAGATTTGATCGTTAAAAATCACTTTGTTTTGCCTTTACCTCTCATTCTCAACCCATAGCTCTTTAGATGTTGTGTATATCCACCTTTTATTGTAATTAAACATACCAGTAAGTTTTAATTTTTCTTATCCATGATATACTATACTGTACTAGGCAAGCTTAGCTGGAATATGAAACTTTGTCAGGAACATTGCCACTCAGGTAGCACTTTCATATTTACTGTTCTTATTTCATTATCGTGCTAAACAAACAATTGTATTATTATGATGTTACAGAGATGTGATGACGTGTGTGCGAGTGTGGCGCCCTACCAGGAGGAGAACGGTCGCCTCCTGACCCAACTTAATACCCTGCACATGGCCAACATCACGCTCAGGGAACAGAACGACAAGCACAGTAAAGGTATGTGACGCAGTTTACCTAATATTTTTTGTGGGGGATAATACCTTGCATGTGGTCAAGATGCTCGGGGAGCAGAAGAAGAAACAGAACAAACGCACTTGCTGTGTTTCTTATATCTATTTTATCTTGGGGCGTCAGTGTTAACCAGTGGAGTGTTTTAGGCTACAGGGTGCCAGAGAATCATGCCTATTACACTGGTTATGATTAGTTTAATGAATGTGGAGTGAAACCTTTTTATTTGGCCTCCTGTTGGACCAGCAAATGTGGCTCAGTTGTTGGAGTTGCTGGTTTTCACAATGTTGTAATACCCGTAGAGTACAGTACAGTGTAAGTGTTATACCCCTCCTTGGGTTATTCTCACATGATGCTTTGGTCAGAAAATTTATTACTGTCACAAGAAATAAAATTTATGCGGACTAATGCTGCCAATGCTTCTTACAGAGCTCCAAAATGCCTTACAAAAGTTAGAGGAGGAGAACAGGAACCTGCGGTTACTTGCTGGGGAGTATCAGCGGCAGAAAGAAGAACTTGAGGCTGAATCCAGTAAGAAAAACGACAAGATTCTTCAGCTGCAGGAGAAGAACCTCCGGGCAGTTGTCACTACGCCTGGTAAGAGACGTCACCCGCTGTACCTGTGTTTCAAAGAATACATCATTTTAATGTAGAATGGTTGGTTTAGTTAACAGTCATAGTACAGTACAGGTACTGTATGATGGAGAACCCATGCAAACACATTGTTGTTGATGATGATGATTAAAAATGAGAGCAAAGAACCCTCATCTAGGCATAAAACTATTGTTAACAGACAGAGACATGAAACACACTCACAGATGCACATTATAATTGTTGCATAAAAGCCTTGAGCAGTGTGTAAATTATGTAGTTTAAATATTGCATTAAAAATCATACATATACTTGATAATGTAGAGACCTGAAATCTTAATACTATACTGTACTGTAATGTACTAATATGATGAAATATTTTATAATTTAATAAAAATGCTCTCTTCAGTTAATGATTTTACTGTGTCGTGAACACAACAGACAAATAAAACACACCTAACTATGTGAGGCCTTGCTGAGTCTGACATTTCCAGGTAAACATTTTCTTATCCCTTAGTGCATCATGGTAGGTTAAAGTAAAAGGGTGACCAAGAATTTATGATAAGTTCCATCAGTATGGGTGGTAAAAAAGTTCTCTCAGTTTGAGTCAATCGGTTAGGATGGTTATTAATATTACTGTACTGACTAACTTTATTAAAAATCTGCAGTAAAATGTTTGACTGGCTATTTTTCTGAATGTTACATAAAGTTAGTCACCTTCAATATCATTACTGTACTTTCATTATTTGGTAACTTGTGTATGTATGATAATTTTTTTTTCATTGTACAGTACAGTATACTCATTTTTAGCATGTTAGTTTTCTCTGGATTTTCATGTAGCTTTTTTCAGGGGAAGACACACCTGTTAATGGCTATAACAAACATTTTTCCTATCAGGTGGACGGAGAAAGCCGATACCATTTCAACGTCAGCGTTTAGAAATCACTTCTCATCTTCCAGAAAACAACATGTCTTCCAGTAACAAGTGTTCAAAGTTAGTGTAATGCTTTGTGAATTCCTACTGTATACATCAACTGTTAACTGAATACTGTACAGTATAAGTAAATACTTAAACTTTGAAATGTTTGTGAAAGTATGTATTGGATATAAGTTGAGTTATCATGGTATATTGCCATATTAATTGTATTTATCCATAAGTATATACAAGAATTTTTCACTAATTGTGTTGATGTAACAAGATGATGAAGGTTCTTGGCCTCACTGACAGGTTCACATCTTAACATTTGTAAGATATCCGTGCATACCGAAATATGAAAAGTTCTCTGCCTTATTCTTATGGGTTTTTGCCTAATTCACTGAAATTCTTGACCTAATTCTTATAGGTTTGGGGCCTAACTATGACAGGTTCTGTGATGTGGAGTGTTTCCTACTATACTGCACATAACTTCCTTTCAGGTGTGGGTGTGCTGGTGGGAGTCAGAGTCAACGAAACAACAACAATGATGCCTACCTGGCTGATCTGTTGAGGATGACAGATCAGAAGCTGCTGGACCTGCAACAAGAAGTGGAGCGCAGCCAGCGTCATGCTAAGGAGAATGAAAACCAGTGTGCAACACTCAAGAAACAGGTGTGTTGAGTGGATTGAAGATTACTGTGTGCTACATTAATCATCAAAGGAACAGGAAATTCAAGTTCCTTTTGGTTCACTACATACAGAATTTGGTAAAAGAGAACGGTAGAGATAAGTATGAGAGAAGTCTTTTGGAAATAACTTTTTCTTTCCCAGATTTCAAACAGAGAAGCAGAGATCAACAGACTGCAGGGATTGTTGGAGGGAGGACGGACAGTGGCGGCGGTGATAGAGGACAATAGATTACAGGCAGCACATGCACACCTACACCAGTTACAGCTCCACAATGATATGCTCACCAAGACCAACATTCATCTCGAGAGTAAACTTAAAAGTAAGGTGGTGTGGAAATTTGCTTGTGAGTAATCTTAAATTGCTACTATATCTATATGGGAATTTGCTTGAGAATAAGCTTAGATATAAGGGTGTGAGACTGTCACCATAACTCACTTCATGTTTTCAGATCATTATTACTTGTTTTATGAATATTTGTGGTGTTTTCTAACTGTGTGTTGAAAGAACCTTTTGCATTTACAGATAATCTTGGAGACACTCATGATGCAATGAATCGAGCAGTGGAGTTGGCTGATGTCAACACAGATCTAACAAAAGAACTTCATAATGTAGAAAACACCAATCGGCTCCTGGAGGAAGACGTTTTTAACACTGCAGAAACTCTCACACAGCGACTAGATCACACAAAGGTAGCTTTGTTGGTTTATAGTTAATTAAAAGATGAACATGTGGTAAAATAGTATTATCAGCAGTATCCTCCATAGTTATTGAATTGCAAATTCTTAATTTATGCCTTGATGAGAAGATAGTCTTTCCAAATTACTGATAACTAATTTATCTTACTTCCTTCAGTTACAAAATATGCTGTAAATTCCTACTGTTTTCTTTGAGAGGGAAATGGCTACACTATATGTGTACAGTCCAAACTTTTTCTTGCAATGGTGTTGGTTGATTGGACAGGTACTGATAAGAATCTTAGTATTCAGAGTTAGTGGTTATCCTGCCCCCTTTATTTATTTGCTGAAAACATAAGGGGTAGTGAGGTCTTAGGCGAATACTCCACCAACTGTGCAAGTAAACCTCATGAATTTACTTTTTAATATGGGAGGCCATGTTGTTAGGGAATAACCAACCTAATTTGAAGAGAAGAGTGAGGTAGTCAATATTTAGGAGGGTTATTTGCATGAAAAAGTACATATACAGTATGGAAAGTCATTGGAATTTTCCTTCATAGATGAACATCCTGTCAAATAGGAACCAGTTGGTTTGATACAAAAAATCTTTAAACACTGATCTAAATGTTCCCAAACTTGTGCAATTTAAATTTGTGTTTGCCAGTTATGGTTTTTATTTTTATTCTCTGCAGACCAAACTTTTGAGCTGTAAAGCAGATTTAGCTGAGCAGCATCGCTTATATCACCTAATGCGTGATGAACGTGACCGACTGTATAAGGAGTTGATCCACGTTCGCCATGATTACTCAAAATTAACTCACGATCACACACGACTGGTAACGGAGCGGATGCCAATGCTGGATGAAAACAAGCGGATGGAAGATCTTTTACGGAAAGGGCAAGAGGAAAAGAAGACATTGGTAGATAAGATCAATCGCTTGACTGTATTATGTGAGTTATTTGACGTGGAAGGAATTTTTTTATTTATTTATTTATTTTTATTTTTATTTATTTTTTTTCTGCTTGACACATCCATTCCCAAATATCTGATACCCAGTTCTTTCTTTATTTATGCTAACTTGTAGTTCTCTCTGTCTTCCTTGACTTTATTTTCATAAATTTTGGTTACCTTCATTATCAGCTTTGGCCTAGTAAACACGCTCAAACTCATTTGCAAACATTTGGGATGAGGGGGTTGTGTGGGTGAGAGAAATTGCTGAAATGGGCTTAAATTATGTTATTTACAGGATATTTTATGTAGGCCACTTAGTATAGTGCAAAACTCTTTGAGATATTGACTAAATGATGGTTATTTTATTACTTTTGATTGATAATTTTCTCTTTCAAACTTTCTTTTCAGTACAAGAAACAGAAACCGATAAACTACGTCTCTCGGTGGATGGGGAATCTCTTCGTCAAACAGTTATTGAACTGAAGGCACAGAAAGATGCTTTAAACAAAAGTATTAGTGAGTTGAAGGAGGAAAAAGAAACTGCAGAACAAGGGAAAGCTTTCTATGCATCAGAGACGGAGAAGTTGATGGTACAGAACAAGGAGCAGGAGCAGGAACGTGACTACTACAAGGAGGAGATGCTCAAGTCTCAGGCTCAGAAGACTAACATGGAGCAGGAAAGGGACTTCTACAAGAACCAGACTGGAGAGGTACATCTATTATTATATTCAGTCTTTCATAAACAATTAAATCAACCTACTTCTGTATCTGTTGATGTCACTGTCCATATGACCGGCTAAACAACGTTCTCCATATATTCAGTACAGCGACAGTGTACATATTATATTAACACATTTCTTCATGTTCCTTAATTGATACAGTCCACTTACACACTATACATTCTTCGTGGTTCTTTATGGTGCTGTCTCCACCAATTAAGTTGTGAGTAATTTTCAGTTGTCAAGAGAGAAACAGTTGGTGGAACAGTCTCGATCATACATGGGTGATGATTTGGCAAAACTTCAAGCTCAATTCAAGCAAATGCAGCAGGAGAGAAATTATTTCAATGAACAACTGAATCAGGTAAAGATTTTTACTCCTGCTTATGATACAGTACTGTCAGTTCTTTAATTTGTTTCACAATTTTATTCTGAAAGCTTATATTTCTCTTTGTTTAATGCTATTCCTCATCCTAAATTAATGGGGTTGGATACTACATTTGGTTGTTTTGTAAACACTTGTATCCCTAAACGTTTAAAGGCGGTGGATACTTACCCTTGGTTGTCCATCATTCATTCTCTCTGTTTACCCGGTATTCATGTAATATGAGGTGTTTAGAATTAGAGGGGCCAGTGTGTCAAATATTCATTTTTAGAAAACATGCTTTAAAGTTTGTGCAAATATAAATTACTATAGCACCATACTGTGTGTACATATTTTTAGTATCATTCACAGATAATTATTATAATAAAAAAGGGAAGGTTTAAATGAGATACAGACCCTGAACAATGATAAAAAATGAGAACACTGCAACATGATATTAAATCTAGTTAGTATAATACAAGCAATAATTAGAATTAATAAAACTTTTAAATACCTAATAGTATTATTATTATGGATTTAAACCATCATAAATAGCAGAAATAAGGCAGAAACACAGAGAAGCTCCTTCGCTGTTTACCAAACGCATGAGACTGCCTTGGGAGGGATGTAACGCGGTCTCCCATTGGCTGCGACATGCTTGGTAACAGTAACACAGCACTGATTGGCTGCTGCCTTTTGCTTAATTGTCTCCTCAACACTTTGGTGCAAATGCTAGGCCCCACAGTGTGATGGAAGTACATGGCCAACACATCCACTATTTCAATGGCAAGAATGCACCAAATGGGCAAACAGTAGCCCTTTGAGAATCAGTCCATCTGATAGAGCATGGATAAGAGAAAATGGAGTTACGTAAAATGCATGGCTGTGGAGTCGAAGACAAAACCTTCGACTCCGACTCCTCAAATTTTTATGCTTCCGACTCCGACTCCTTGGCCTATTTGTAACAACTATTTCTACCATCCTAATTGTAATTTGTATGTTGTAACCTGCATAGGTAAAAAGTAAAACACCGTGGCTATACTGCTACAGCTTTATTAATGATCTGGACGATATTTAAGAACTACAAAAAGATGATAGGCTTGACTTTCAAAGTTTCAATCAAAAGAAAAATAAATTTATTAAGAATTCAAGATATTAACTAGAAAACACCATTTACATGTATATCTAAAAGTTCGATCTCAGCATATGAATTTTGTTTAAGCTCATAATCTGATGTGGATCTAAATGATGATCCTACAATTCCTTTTAAAGTAAAGTTATATATTTATGTACATTAAAGAAATGAATACCTTATTAAGGAAAATGGATAAACCTTACATGATTAAGTTATTAAATTAAATTTGCCTTAATCTCACCAAAAACAGGTTGTAGCTAATTGTTTTGTAGCTGAGAGCCTCTGTGCAGTTTTCAACGAAACAAAATTTGATATAATTCAAAATTTCAAATGGTAAAGAAGAGACTATCGTCCAAAATTATAGTGCTATACTGTGCCTGCTACAATAAATTCATAATAATGCTTATAAAATGGAAATAAATTCTTTTAATAATTTAAGAAAATTAGTGGGATCAGTGGAATCACTGCAATGAATATGCCTGAGTTCATATATTTGTTCTTAGGAACAGAATAGCTTCAGTCGGAGTCGGTCGGAGTCTGGACAATTTTACCGACTCCGACTCCACAAGCCGAAATTTCCTCCGACTCCTCGACTCCGACTCCGACTCCACAGCCCTGAATTAGGTACTCCTGAATGTGCTGCTTAAGGATCTGTTAACCAAAATTTGATATCTTGATTATAACTTGTTCAAATGGCTTTTAGAAAATGTTCAAATGATTTTTAGAATATTTTAATTACTTTTGCAATGCTAATTACTCGCCACTTATGGGTTTTCGAGGTCATTTCTTGGTGCTTGTGTATTATTCTGGATGTACTTAAATAGTTAGGCACATTAAATTTTAGTTCAGAGAGAAAAAGTATTTTTGGCCAAAAATCCTTTTAGGCTTTAGACTTACAATTTTTGTCATTTCGGCCAAAAAATGGATTTTGTTCAAAATTTCAGTATAGGTACTCCTGAATGTGCTGCTTAAGGATCTGTTAACCAAAATTTGATATCTTGATTATAACTTGTTCAAATGGCTTTTAGAAAATGTTCAAATGATTTTTAGAATATTTTAATTACTTTTGCAATGCTAATTACTCGCCACTTATGGGTTTTCGAGGTCATTTCTTGGTGCTTGTGTATTATTCTGGATGTACTTAAATAGTTAGGCACATTAAATTTTAGTTCAGAGAAAAAAGTATTTTTGGCCAAAAATCCTTTAAGGCTTTAGACTTACAATTTTGTCATTTCGGCCAAAAAATGGATTTTGTTAAAAATTTCAGTATAGGTACTCCTGAATGTGCTGCTTAGGATCTGTTAACCAAAATTTGATATCTTGATTATAACTTGTTCAAATGGCTTTTAGAAAATGTTCAAATGATTTTTAGAATATTTTAATTACTTTTGCAATGCTAATTACTCGCCACTTATGGGTTTTCGAGGTCATTTCTTGGTGCTTGTGTATTATTCTGGATGTACTTAAATAGTTAGGCACATTAAATTTTAGTTCAGAGAGAAAAAGTATTTTTGGCCAAAAATCCTTTAAGGCTTTAGACTTACAATTTTCGTCATTTCGGCCAAAAAATGGATTTTGTTAAAAATTTCAGTATAGGTACTCCTGAATGTGCTGCTTAAGGATCTGTTAACCAAAATTTGATATCTTGATTATAACTTGTTCAAATGGCTTTTAGAAAATGTTCAAATGATTTTTAGAATATTTTAATTACTTTTGCAATGCTAATTACTCGCCACTTATGGGTTTTCGAGGTCATTTCTTGGTGCTTGTGTATTATTCTGGATGTACTTAAATAGTTAGGCACATTAAATTTTAGTTCAGAGAGAAAAAGTATTTTTGGCCAAAAATCCTTTAAGGCTTTAGACTTACAATTTTTGTCATTTTCGGCCAAAAAATGGATTTTGTTCAAAATTTCAGTATAGGTACTCCTGAATGTGCTGCTTAAGGATCTGTTAACCAAAATTTGATATCTTGATTATAACTTGTTCAAATGGCTTTTAGAAAATGTTCAAATGATTTTTAGAATATTTTAATTACTTTTGCAATGCTAATTACTCGCCACTTATGGGTTTTCGAGGTCATTTCTTGGTGCTTGTGTATTATTCTGGATGTACTTAAATAGTTAGGCACATTAAATTTTAGTTCAGAGAGAAAAAGTATTTTTGGCCAAAAATCCTTTAAGGCTTTAGACTTACAATTTTTGTCATTTCGACCAAAAAATGGATTTTGTTCAAAATTTCAGTATAGGTACTCCTGAATGTGCAAAGGATCTGTTAACCAAAATTTGATATCTTGATTATAACTTGTTCAAATGGCTTTTAGAAAATGTTCAAATGATTTTTAGAATATTTTAATTACTTTTGCAATGCTAATTACTCGCCACTTATGGGTTTTCGAGGTCATTTCTTGGTGCTTGTGTATTATTCTGGATGTACTTAAATAGTTAGGCACATTAAATTTTAGTTCAGAGAGAAAACGTATTTTTGGCCAAAAATCCTTTAAGGCTTTAGACTTACAATTTTTGTCATTTTCGGCCAAAAAATGGATTTTGTTCAAAATTTCAGTATAGGTACCAGGGCTGTGGAGTCGAAGACAAAACCTTCGACTCCGACTCCTCAAATTTTTATGCTTCCGACTCCGACTCCTTGGCCTATTTGTAACAACTATTTCTACCATCCTAATTGTAATTTGTATGTTGTAACCTGCATAGGTAAAAAGTAAAACACCGTGGCTATACTGCTACAGCTTTATTAATGATCTGGACGATATTTAAGAACTACAAAAAGATGATAGGCTTGACTTTCAAAGTTTCAATCAAAAGAAAAATAAATTTATTAAGAATTCAAGATATTAACTAGAAAACACCATTTACATGTATATCTAAAAGTTCGATCTCAGCATATGAATTTTGTTTAAGCTCATAATCTGATATGGATCTAAATGATGATCCTACAATTCCTTTTAAAGTAAAGTTTTATATTTATGTACATTAAAGAAATGAATACCTTATTAAGGAAAATGGATAAACCTTACATGATTAAGTTATTAAATTAAATTTGCCTTAATCTCACCAAAAACAGGTTGTAGCTAATTGTTTTGTAGCTGAGAGCCTCTGTGCAGTTTTCAACGAAACAAAATTTGATATAATTCAAAATTTCAAATGGTAAAGAAGAGACTATCGTCCAAAATTATACTGTAGTGCTATACTGTGCCTGCTACAATAAATTCATAATAATGCTTATAAAATGGAAATAAATTCTTTTAATAATTTAAGAAAATTAGTGGGATCAGTGGAATCACTGCAATGAATATGCCTGAGTTCATATATTTGTTCTTAGGAACAGAATAGCTTCAGTCGGAGTCGGAGTCTGGACAATTTTACCGACTCCGACTCCACAAGCCGAAATTTCCTCCGACTCCGACTCCGACTCCACAGCCCTGGTAGTAGTAGTAGTGGTCAGGGCTGTGGAGTCGGAGTAAATTTCGGCATATGTAGGATTCTGCCAAAGATGGGTGGGGTAATAGTAATGACTGTGTTCACGGGTGGGAGTATAATTAATAAGAAATTGCCTCTTGCCTTGTTTAAATTCTATTAACAGTAGACCTCAGATGCTGATGATTGTACTGTATGTGTATCTAGAAAATTTATAGAATTATGAGTATTTTGTTTAGAACAAAACTCTTGATATGAGGGGATCAGTTAACCCCTCTGCCTCCAACTGGTGTGTTATAACCAATTTGCTTTCACTCGTTAGTTAATTAAAAAAAACTGTCTCTCCGTTAAGACTCAAGGAGAGAAAAGACAGGCAGAGAGGGAGCGGGAATACTACAGCGAGCAGGTGATACAACTGCTGGATATCCTCAAAAGCAAACCGTCATCTACGCCCTCCACTCCCATGCAGATTGGGAGGCCACGACCGAAACCCATTTCTCCGGTTAGTCAAAAATATATTTTATGGAGAATTATCTTAAGAGTAAGATGCTGGCTTTATGGTGCCTGCAGCAGTTTGAGTTGAATGAGTTGTAATTGGTAATTACATAATTGTTATAAAATGTTTGAGATCATTATTATTTATGTTCTCTATGTTGCAGGAAAATGAGATAGCACGTTTGACACATGAACGAGATGTTCTGAAACAAGAGCGTGACTTCTACAAGATGCAGTACCAGTCAGTGAAGAGTCAACAGGCAGGAGGTTCTGCAGCTTCCATAGTATCTGGTGGTATGGGAGTTGGTCCACCAGGCACAGGTGTTGGTGCCCCATCAGCTCTTGGTCCCCTGCCTATGGGCCCGGCTACTGCAGCTCCTTCAGCAGGCGGGCCAACAACTGTAGGTTCTGTTAGTCCTCCACCCAGGCCACAATCTGTACCAACAGGGGGTAAGTATTGATTACATACTACCAATTAATGATGGTACAAAATAGAAATTGCCAATAGTTAGTCTCTGTAAATTATTAGTTTTTAGTACTGTTTTGTGTAGCTGTATTATGGCATAAGCAAGGTTGATAAGGTAAATGCTGTATGAAACTTTGAAAAAAAATAACAATTTGTGTGGAATGATGAAGTCTTTAAAATCTTTACTATCTAATTTTCATTTATACTCTGTTAAGCCTTTGTCCACTATAATACTGGACATTTACTGTACATATGTTATTCTTAATGCTTTCATAGATATGATCTGCTTTGGTACTCCCCTAACAAGGCCCCAGATCTTAAAACCCATCACAAGCCAGCATCACCCGTCAACATGTTTTGCCTCCAAAATCATATGACACCACAATTTTATTCATTCATGCATGCTTCTGTTTTCTGCTGTCTTTACTCCAACTAATCCTTCCGTCTCATCCTCGTCCTTCACTTCCCCATCCTACAATTAACCTTTGAATTACAGCTGTTGATGTGGAAACTGTTAGAAGGGAGAGAGATTTCTTCAAACAACAAATGGAGTATTTCAGACAGCAGTTGAACTTGCAGTTGTCTCGTGGGGCTCCAACTGCTGCTGCTCCTGGTGCTGTTGACACTGACCGTCCCCAGCGCTCTCCTCTCATCCGGGTACAGATATGCTGGTTATTGTTGTCACTGAAATGGAAACTTTTTTCAGGATCTTTTATAAAAAATATGACCACAAGTTCGTGGGTTTCTGGTTTGAATCCTGGCTGGAGTGGATGATTTGACATTTGTGATACATCTTCACTCTTTTTGTTAAAACTGTTAATATGCACTCTTTCTCTATTCTATAACTGCTCTTCATTTCTTGTTATAGTTCTCTCCGTGACCATTATGCTTTTCTACCAGTCATCCCGATTTCTGGTACCATATCTTGTACTTTATTTAATTGTTGGTGTGAATGTACAAATTTCTTCTAGGCAGCATCAGAAGCATCACCACTGCATGATGTGGACTCTGCAACATTAAGAAATGAGATGAGAGTGTACCAGCAGGAGCGAGATTTCTTCAGACAACAGTATGAGAATCTTAAGGCCAGTCTTGCACAGCCACTTCCTCGGGTAAACTATAATGGAAGTTTTTATTCTTGGTTCCTCCCTTCTTCATTTATATAGAGTGAAATCTTGCTGTAAGAGATTTGTTATAATACCAGTGTCCAGTAACTGAAGTACAGTATCTCAAGCTTGTCCCAAATCTTATTAGGACTTTAAGAGATGTTTTTGTTCTCACCGGACAACATGGCTCGGGTAGATATTTAAAAAAAAGAAAAAAAGTGAATGTATGTGTAGAAAGAGGTAGGATACATAAGGGAAGCCTGATACACATTCACTCACTGTGAGGGTTGGTGCTTGAGTAATACAAACTGTTACTGGCTGGTCAGTCATATATATTCACGGTTTCAAACATTCTGTGGTATTATTTGCACAAATTACTGGTACAGTAATTTAATTGACTAATTGGAATCAGCATAGTTTCACTGCACATGTATTTCAGGGCATTATCAGTTCAGATACTCAGGTACAGTAACGGTACACAATATACTGTTTATCCATATATAACAGACAATTAGTACATAAATTAGAAAATAATGATATGAAATACATATGACTTTAGTAAGTGTACATTGTTGCGATAACTTTAGGCCGGAGAAGAAGAAGACATCAGTAACTTGGTCCGTGAGAGGGATATGTTTCATCAGGAGCGCGACTTCTTCCGGACTCAGTACAACGACATCTCCCGCAGGATTGCCCAGATTACCTCAACCACTCCTTCAGTATCACAAACCATCGTAAGTGTTTTTTCAGCGCTTTGGTTTGTTATTGTGATGTTAACTGTGATAGCTTATGTCTTTATATTTGACTTACACTGTTCCTTTTATTTTATGTGATTGATTGACTAACTAAAGGCCTGTCTCATACTCTTATTGGATTATTATTTATGCAATATTTCATTTCGCTATCCATGTAGTTCATTAATACAGCCAATATTATTCTTGTCTGCGATATACTGTATAAGATATTCTAAAGTATTGGCCATACAACCTAACTATTAACCAAAACAGTACAGTACTGTACACTCAACCTCCTCACACATTTCTGTACTCATGACCTACAAAATATTTGAAGCTAGGTAAAAGGTACCGTACATATTGTCTGAAAGATGAGGATAAAAGTGAGTTTGTGTTGTCGTGGTATTTTCTTGTTGCTTTCTGCACTTGTCTTACACCATTTTTTTTTTCCACAGAGGCAGGAAATGGAAGCTCTCATGTCAGAGAAGCGGGGGCTAAGCATAACCAAGGCAGATCTTGAGGCACAGGTACGTTTTTTATGCTGTATTGTTAGTATGAAGTGATTTCATTTTACAAAAGTCTTTTTTATTATGATACAGTACTCAGAAAGATTCACAGTACCATATACAATAATGTGAATGTCAAATTAGGCAATCAAAACCTTTTAAAAATGGAAACTTGATATTAAACAAATCAGTTCAGTTTTGTTGCTCATGGGCAGCCTCTTCATTTGTAACAAAGTCAGTCTCACTTATTCTGTTACAATGGAAGAGGATAGCAGTGGGCATCAGTTCTGTACTCTATTGTTTTAATACAGGATTTTGTTTTTTGATGTAGGTTTGATTACCAAGATGTTTTATGATATTGCAGGTGGTTGGTTTGTACTGAAATGTGTATTTTTATGCTGTGATATATACAGCTCCTCCCCGACTTACGACCACCCGGACATACGACCGTCTCAGTCGTACCAAAATTTTGTCAAATTACGTATTTTCGAGTCCCAACGTCAGTGATTGCGCTGTGTACTGACAAAATATTCGTATGTACAGTATATCCCTTTAAAATGGCTGGCAAGCTTAAAGGTGAGAGTTTTGTGGTGCTGAGAAGAAAAAGAGAGACCCATTTTAGATTATCTATATTATTTAAGCATTTTCGACTTACGACCTGGATTTGGGTCCCTAACCCCATCGTAAGTCGGGGAGGAGCTGTATAAAATAACACCTGCACAGTTGACATTTTTTTTAGAAATAATAAATTTGTTAATTAGAATTAAAGTGTTTTGAATATACTGTATAGAGCATATGTGTACGTATTGTTTGTGTTTATAAAGAAAACTTGGACTTTCAGGTAAGATCTCTTACTGAGAAGCTGTTGGAAGCTGAACGTGAGAAAAATGAGATAGACAGTCACACAAGAGAATTACACTCAGCCATTGAGAAGTAAGTAAGGAGGAACTACAGTATACTGATCAGTAAATAATGAAATGTTTGTTGGCATAATAATATTCAGTAGTTGCTGAAATTATATCAAGAATGTGAAATCATTACTGTACCATGAGTTGAAGAGTGACTGTCATCCAACTTTTGACAGCCACCACCATTGTAACTGTGGAATTCTTTGTGGTTTTAATCCATTATATTGTTTATATCGTAAAAATTTGATGACTTTAGATTGTAACATTATGTAAATTAGAGCTATTGGGCTCATCAGGGGGTAATTTAGCCTACTTTAAGTTTTTTTTTATGCTATGTTGGAGAAGAAATAATTTTGCGTGTTTTTAGATACCCGGTATGCATTTGGGTCCTTAATAATGTCTTCAGAAATAATGTGCATCTTAACATTTTTTAAGAATTTACAGGAGCATTTTTTCTTTATACAGGAGTATATATATATATATATATATATATATATATATATATATATATATATATATATATATATATATATATATATATATATATATATATATATATATATATATATATATATATATATATATATATATATATATATGCAAGTAAATCACTGTAGGTGCGCGTGATCTAGGTATATGCTGATAAACACAAGGAAAGAAGAAAACACGAAGTTCCCAAGCGCTTTCGTGTAATTCACATCTTCAAATATTTCACTTTCTGGACCATGGGAATTATTAATCATTAGTGCAACATGAAGGAAAATAGCGGTGTCAAATTTTATGTACGTACATTAACTACAAACATAATAAGGTGTCCATCAATGAAGTTTCAATTTTGTTTACCAATTATGGGTTAAAAATAGAACCCTCAGGTTTATTGGGCCCAGTAATTTCTGGCAGATATTTTTATAAAGATTTAAGTTTTTTACAAAATGTTTTTATTGATTTGTCTGTAGGTGCTAGTTCATTTGTTCCAGGTGTGGAGAAGTTGATCTAATAATGGTGAGGACATATAAACCAGTTAAGGGGGCATCAACATGAATGATTGTGTCACATTTGTTGAACCTAACATTCTAGATACAGTATTCATGAAACTGGAGACATTATTAAGAAATCAGAAAAGAGAAGCTGTTCTTTCCCCCACGAGTTTGATGATCTCATTGTACGTTAACTGCAGTCACAGCTATTGCATTGCTTATCCTTTATTTTATAGCTACAGGGGGTCCCCGGGTTACGAACGGGTTCCGTTCCTGAGGACGTTCATAAGTCGGATGTGTACGTTAGTCGGAACACATGCTATATGTATACTGTACTTATGAAGCAATATTTAAAATCCCACTATCATAGCCTAAGTCCTTATATAGTACATCTAAAATCACTTAATTTAGGACAAAAGAAGAAATAGAATGACAAAATTCAGTAGATGAAAGTAAAAAATTTGTCATCAGGTATATAAAATAATGTAAATTTCAAGTTTAACCCGTTCGTATTGGCGGGCGGGCATAAGTCGGGGACCTTCTGTATACCGTACACAAATACCTTACTGCCTTCATTTCTATGTTTTGTATAAAAAATGGTTTATGTTTGACTGTATAAGCTGATAATATACTTTTTGTTGTGTCAACACTGTCAATAGGATTAAACAGATAATTACAACTTAATCCAGTTTATTGTTACACTATATTTTGTGCTTTCCTGGCATCATTTGTGTGTTAAGATATTATATTATAACATAATTTATGTATTTCTGGAACCATTTGTTTCATCACTGCTCTGGGCCCATTAGTCCCATTTTATATCATGCACAGCCCCAGCAAGATCCTACTTAATGTTGTTATAAAACTCAGAATTGTGCAGCATATCTTTTTTGTAATCTTACAATAATTTTAAAAGTTGGGCCTAATTTACAGTGGCTTTTTCCATTGAAGAATGTGGGTATATTTTTTATCATGAATTATTTAACCTTGTTAACAGAATCTAGCTTTTTATATGAATCCCCATCATCATTTTGTGGCCATTTTCCACATTTGAAGAAGCTTTATCTTATGAACATATCTAATATATTTTACAGGCTTCAGGATGCAGCCACTCAAAGATATCCACCATCTACCCAGGCCTTCATCATGGAAATTAGGAAGGCACGAGATGCAGCCATGGGTGACCTGGATAAGGTTAAGAAGGAGCGAGATCACCTGAGGGAGAAACTGAGGGTAGGTTATGATGTGCTGTCTGGTGGTTTTCGTTTAGCCAGATGTAGTGATGACATGGAATTTATACAGTACAGTATATGTCTTGGCTTATTGGTTTTCAGCTGCTCCATCAGTGATCTTACTCAAACAGTATTGAAAAAAAATCACATGCAGTTGATTGATGGTGTAGAACGTTGCTTTTTTATCTTTCAAGCCTTTTCCTACTTAATGTAGGGGACCAGAAACAAGAGCAGACGCACGCACGCACATTTTTCCTTTATTTGTTGTTATTCATTCTTTCTTGCTACTTTAATTGAGGTATATTGCTTTGGTTCACTATTTCAATAGCATCTCCAAATCTGGTTACCCCTGTTGCCTCACAGAAGCCAGTATCACCCATCAGCAGCTCGTCCTTCCCCAACGATTACTCGCTGCAATGCTCTTGGGTCTTTCATGCATGCTGCTGTACGTATACTGGATGTCCATTTCTTTCACCTTTAGAACATCCTTTTATCTCCTTGATATTTCCTTTGCTTCCTACAATCCACATATGATTTACACGCTACTAACATTACAGTATCTATCCATTCTATACCCTTACCACTTGGGCAGACCCTGATCCACCCAATTCCTTATTTCTTATTTTCTACATCCTGTTCCCCACATATTGCTTTCTCAATACACTCACATTTCTTAACTCATTCACTAACAAATTTAATTTTCATCTTAATTATCCACCAGAGTTGTGTCGTCTGGAAACAACAGGTGACTTACCTCCTAGGTTATACAGTGGTCCCTCGGTTAACAAGCGCCTCGGTTAACGAGTTACCTTCCATAAGATTCTTAACTTCGGTTAACGAGCAATCCCTCGATTAACGAGTTTCTTACGAGCCGACCTCCACATGTTTTAGCTTGCATTTAGCGGTCCACCAGCTGTAGTATTAGTCTGCCAATACAGTAATCGGTTTTAGGGCTTAAATTCCTTGCCCTTTTAGTAAATATCAAGAAGTTTATACTATTCAATAATTTTAAAAGTTTAATATTAAATTTTTTAGTCATTTTAACAGTTATTGAACATAGTTGAAGGTAAGGTCACTAGTTTGTGGCACGCCATCCAGCCTGCCAACACAGCATACAGGTGTCAGTCTTTGTGTCTTTTCAGTGGAGGTAACATCTTGCTTGAGACTCTCTTCAACTAAATGCTTTTTTTCTGTGTTTACAAGCAAATTATTGGTCATTTTGAAAATTATTTTACATATTGACAATATATAATGCAGTGCAGTGTTGATTTAAAGAAAATAATCTTGAATTACACCAAGAGAACTAAAATTTTATGGGTGAAATGGCGCCATGGGGAGACTTCTCTTCCACCCCAATGCCTTCTCCTCCACCCCCATTCTAATTCCCATCATCATCATCATCAAGGAGCCTTCTACATACACACCTCAAAGTACGTGTACTTTACTACCTTTTTTGTTGAATTTAGGCTATTTTCGGGGAGCTGGAACCAATTACCCAAAAACCCATTGAAACAATGGTTTCGGTTAACGAGCAACCTTCTAGAACGGATTGTGCTCGTTAACCGAGGGACCACTGTAAAGTGAAATAGGTGTGTAAAGATGTCATATTAGATGATGCTTGAAAATTGATTGTAGATCATGTGCAGGGGAATTATTTTAAATATAATCATGGTAATATAAACAAGCTTAACAACACACTATGCATTGTGAATTGTTATAAAACATTGTGAATCAGTGTAGATGCTGAAGATTAATTTTGTGTTCTTTGTCATAGAAGATGTGGATATGAGATAATGTCTGGATGTTTTTTACTTGATCATGCACCTCCTCATCCTGTCCCTCTTATCTCAAATGTCTTACTCCATCCTCTCCTCCTCTCTGAGATTTCTGTATCCCTTGATCTGCCACACCCCAGTAGGAAAGGGTTTGAAGATTAATGTATAATTTTCCTAAATTTTATTATGGAATTAAACTAAGTTATGATTTAATTTCAGTGCACTGTAATTAATATTAACATGCCTTTTATATTATATAGGAGGCAACTTCTCATCAAATTCGAGAGAAAGCAACTTTAGAGGAAGAAGCATCTAATCTCCGTCGCCAAACGGAAGAAGGAGGCCGGACAGTGACGGACTTGCAGCAGCGCCTTCACTCCCAAGCTGCTCTGATTGCATCCTTGCAAGATCAGGTGCAGAACCTGCAGGAAGCCCTTCAACAAGCTCATGGTGAGCTGGGTCTCCAGGGCAAGCAGTCAGATGAGATCAAGTACGTTTATGTTGTACAGTATTTTTTTGTCTCTTGTTCAATGTTTATTTGTCACAAAACAAATATATGTACAAGTATATGTGTGCATTGTGGATATGCAACAGATTTTATATTCTTTTACAGAAAACTCCTGAATAGGAAAGTAGGGGAGATGGGGGATGCTGAACATCAGCTTGAGTTCCGTCTTAATCAATTGTCAATGGCTCAGGCTCGGGTCAAGGAGCTGGAGGCTGAGCTATCAAGAGTAAATGAAGAACTTGTTGATGCCAGAGCAGAGGGTTCAACCATGAGGAATAATGTCAGCCGCCTCGATCATGATAAAGATCGTCTCAGTGTAAGTTGGTGTTACTATATGTTGAATTTTTATTTTCTTCATTAATATGGAAACAATGTCTCCTCTTAGTTGTGTACTTTGATGCCTTTATTTGAGTGGTGTTATTGTCTTTTATATCATTATATCTTACATTTACACCATTTTAGCTTTTATAGACATTTTCTATAAATTTTGGATATTGAAGTTCTTTACCAGGTCATATACACCAGTATCCCTCTGATGCAAACAGGGATATTTTGTTGAAGGACATGACTAAATGAGTTTGATTTTAGTCTGCTAAGGTGGGTTAGACTTAATGAAAGAATGGGAAGCACTAGATTCTGAAGAGAGTGTGATTCAGAGGTTGATGGTTGGATAGAGAGAGAGAAAAAAGAAAACCAAATAAGTGTTAAAAGATGGAATAGATACAAGGGAGATGTGTATTCAGAATATGTGAATGACAATAAACCATGGTGATAAGTGGTCTCTTCTATTACTGTACACACTCTTACAACCTCATTCACTAAAATTCATATTACTGTCGTGCATGGTATTTGAATATTTTAGGCAACTATCTTTGAAACATAAAGCCAGATTTCTCAGGAAAGTAAAGATGTAACATGTAACAGTGTGTGTTGTAATAGAAGAATCCACTTGCCACCATGCATTACTGTCATTCACATAATTTAATGCTGATTCCTGACCCACCCTTCTGGTAGTTGGTCTTTTTCACAGTCCTTTCATATTTTGTTGGGTTCAGTTAAGGATCTCCTTTGTTTACTGTTGGTCAGTTTTTTGTATACAATAGGGTTTGTTTACTGCCACCTCAATTTCTTAGCCCAGACACTGACGTTTTTTATTTCAGTTTAAGATATAACTCAATCCTTTTATATGAAGAAACTTTTATAACTATGATATTAAGAAGGTGGCATATAAGGAATTACAGTAACATGCTTTTTCTTTTTTGTTTCATCAGGCTGAATTAGACACAAAAACTGAGCATGTAGCAAACCTGAGGGAAGAACTGCGCAAAAAAGAAGCATTGATAGCAACGCTCGAGGGCAACATAATGAAACTAGAAGGGAAACTTGAGTAAGTATCCAGTTTGTGTATACCATACTAATAGATATATTTAATGCTATAAATCCGATATTTGTGTTAATATAAATTTTTGAGTTCTGAAAGTTTGAACTGATAAACATTTATGTGTTGAGTTGAAGTTCCAAGTCCATGACTAACTCTGGCTGTTTAAACTCTCCTGAGTGTCATTTGTTCCAGGTAGGCTCAAAGCTTGACCACTCTGAACAAACCTAAATTATTGAAGTCCAAAGCAAAGATGAGAAAATAATTGGATAAGTGTTCATCATCATCCAACTTTTGTCATTTTATAAGTTTTTGTAATAGTAACATTTTAGTATTGAGAGACATCCTACACTGCTTATTGGTCATGAATTCTCTCCCACAAGTCATATTTTTTAAACTATTAGGTGTTGTAATGAACCTGTCAGCCTTGAGTAGGGTATGTTGTGATAGTCATTCTGTGTAAACATTCCAAATACTTTTGTCTACAGGAATTTTTATTTCCAATGTTGTCTAAAAAAAAACTTGGTTTTCATATTACACAGTGTCTTTTTAGTTAGCTTTATCAGTTTCAATTATTACTGATCCTACATCAGAATGCAGCAGCCCTTTGGAATGTGGCAGGCACTGTTAGAAGGAATCTTGCAAGTCACCTAAATCTTTTCTTCAGCCTTGAAGTACATTTTGTCCTCTTTTTTTTTTTTAAGTTCTTATCAGCAGTAATGGATTATTAATAAAAGTACAGTATATACATATGTCTTCCTCGCTTTAGTGCATATTTATATTTATTACAAATGTTGCAATCTTGAGTTGAGACATGGTGCAGCTACACAAATATACAGTATTGTATTGCTACATGAAGGATGGTAGATGCTTCACAATCACTCCTGAGGCTGTAGTTCCTCTGTGACTCAGTTCTTCACAACAAATGTTTGTGTCCTTGGCTGTGTCCAGAGGCAGCCACACTTTCACAGAAACTTTGGTCACACTCATTGTCTTTATCTCAGTAACAACCGACTGAGAATTATTTCACATCGTTTCTTTTGAATTTCAAGACATAGATTCACTTGGGAATACTGATACAGTAACTTCTAGATATTTTTTGTTGTATCTAGGTGCTAAGTGTTTTGGGGGAAGTCAACAAGTTTTGCACTTACTGTGATAGAGTTGTACAGCATACAACAGTGAAAGTCACTGCTGATTATGTATTATTCCTTAAGTATTTATGTGATTTTCTTGGTAATACATTGTATGCAGTGATAAGTCCAAGACACTGTTGGTTTTCTTCAAGTACTGTACTTGTGAAAGAAGGTGAAACCCATTGTCCAAGCTTCACTGTTATTTGGTTGCACCTTTGTACTGGCTACTGTACTGTAGTTAATAAGGGAAAATGTTTTCACCTCTTGATTTCTTGAAGTTTTTGTTATATAGTTGCTGTTTATAAAAAAAGTTATCAGGCATTAGAAAATGTTTTACAGGTAGTTTAATAATCTTAACTCATCATTTAATGGGATACATAGAAAATGTCTTCTGCAACCAGTGTGTTTCTAGCTAAAGGATGGAGTTCATCTTTGTGAGCATTTACACATGGTGGGTGGGTGGGTTATCACAGGCAAGGTCAGAGGCTGTGGTGATGGTAATGCCCTGTTGGGGAGGGACTGCCCTCCTCTCTAGTTTGTGGAGATTGTTTCATCACCCCAGTTATGTACTAGTGGTGGTGAGAGAACCCCACCATGGTGTCAGGGACCGCTCACCATCGTTACGCCCTGTGTAGTAAGGGCCGCGGGGCTCCCCGGGGGTCCTGAAATACGTATCATCCAAGAAGCCCCATGTCTCTGTATCTCCCATGGAGCGACCTGACCGACCCAGGGTATACTTTGTGTCTCTGCTACCTGTTGAATGTTCACCGTCCTCCACCCCTAAGGAGTAAATTTCGGTGGGGCCGGGGTGGTATTCTTGCTGTTGTTCTCTTTGGCGGCTATCATCAAATACCATTGTCTCGAGTTGTGGCTTATTTTCTGGTTTCTGTGAACTTGAGTTGTTAGAAGTTTCTGTAGTTTGAGTGTCATTTAGATTGCCTAATGAATAGATGCTGTTGCTATGGGAAGCTGTCACACTGTTACTTTCATGATGATGTTGAGGTGTATTTTCCCTTGAAGAAACATCTCCAAAGATGAGAGGCATATTAGGGGTGATAGATGAGGCGAGTGATGCGCATACTGGGGTAAGAGGTCGCCACCTCTTGACTGCCAGAATCTGTCCTGCGTTACACGGGCCTCTTGTCTCCAGGTGGTAACAGTTACCGTCGTGCCACATGACAAAACCTTTCCGTAAATCACAGGAACAAAGCACACTGCCTGTTGCCTTGTTGTAAGATAGTACTTGTGAATGTTGGCATGGACCACGACTTCCTAACTCATAACATTGATTGTCTATGGCCCAGAAGCCCACTAATTCAGATGTGCAACCACAGGTGCCTTGAAGGGGCGATTCTTCATCATAAATAAAGAGCTGGCCCTCAGGGCAAGGTCCACGCCAGCCCAGTCTAAAACATGTGTCTGTGTCAGGGTGGTAGCGCCGGGTTCCCGTGCAGGGATACACTTGGCATTCTCCAATCATGTTTGTTACATTAGTCCCAGCTGGCATGAAGAAATGACCCTTTTCACAGGGTCCTCTTGAGTATAACCGGTAGCAGTAACCATTGAGAGGCCAGAGGGCATGATCTTCACGACATCTGCACTGGGTGGCCAGAGCATTGGGTTCAAAGGTAAAAATTTGACCTGGGTAGCAAGGGCCCTGCTCATTCAACTCATGACAGCCACCACTGCGATTGTCATAGTTAGTGATGATGGAGGAGCTGCAACTGCACTCAGTGGCTCCTTTTGTGGCATTAAAAAGGAAGATATTCCCATCCAGACATGGCCCTCGCTGGAATAATTCAAAACACAGTCCAGTGAGGGACCAGTAGTTACTAAACATTACATTTCGGTCACAACCACAGTCAGGAAACCCTGAAAATGGAAAACAATTTAGACACTGTTAGCTGAAGCTGTTATTTTAGTCCAAAAATTAATACAATACAGAATGAGAAATTAAATATAGTATTAGATGATGAGGTTGCGTGTGTTGGTTTGAAAATTAATACTGTACAGTATTTAGGCTTCATAAAAGCCAAAGGGGAAGCAAAATTGTCTTCTTTTTTTTTTACCTGTCTCTGAGTTGACGTAGATGAGATATCCTTTGAGGCAAGGTCCTCGAGTATGGTATTCATAACACTTTTTGGTGCGAGGCCAGAACACATGGCGGGGTGGACACTTGAGAAAGTCATGACACTGGCCCTCCTGCCCCTCTCCATCAGTGTCAAGGTACTGTCTGTAGTGGTGGTGGTAACAAGACCAGCTTTAGTATCACAATTGTTTACAATATCATTGAAAATTACTACAGTTTAAGACATTTTTACATGATCATTAAAACTTCAAAATCTTTTAACAGGCAATTTGTGAATGACTGCCATTTGTTTGACAAACTTTATCACACTCCGACAATGAACCAGTAACTAAACTTTAATTGTGTTATTGGTTCTGTTTTTAAAGATCCTCAAGATTAAGAAAGGCAGTTTATGATATACAGCTACTCCTTGATTTACGACCTACTCGACTTACGACCTACTCGGCTTACGACCATCCGGACATACGACCGACCCAGTCTTTTCCCAAAAAATTCAAATTACGTATTTTCGAGTCCCGACGTTAGTGATATCGCTGTGTACTGACAAAATTTTCGTTTGTAATTCCCTTTAAAATGACTGGCATGCTTAAAAGTGAGAGTTTTGTGGTGCTGAGAAGAAAAAGAGACACCCATTTTAGATTTTCTATGTATTATCTTTGCATTTTCGACTTAAGACCAATTCGACTTACGACCTGGATTTAGGTCCCTAGCCTCGTTGTAAGTCGAGGAGTGGCTGGTACAGTGATTCCTCAGTTAACGAACACAATTCGTTCCACAGAGTCATTCGTTAACCAAAAATTTCGTTAATCGCATCTATTACAATATTTCAATGGGATATTGGGTAATTGGTTCCAACTCGCAGAAAAAGTATACATACAGTACAAAGTACTGTATACCGGTAATAGAATTAAGAAAACATTAAATTTAAACTAAATACAGTATTGTACTGTGCAGTATACTGTATAATAATAAATAAAAAACAATAGAATACTGTATTTTAACTTACTTTGAGGTGTGTATGTCGTATTCCCGGCAGCTTTGTTTCCATATCCAACAGCTGATTGTAGAGGCAGTCGATTATGACATGCCATATTCTTTACAGAGTGCATTGGTTCTAATGCCTACTTTGTGTTTCATAATAATTTCTGCACTGTATATTATCAATATGTTAACTAAAATTCAGGATGACCAATAATTTTAATGTAAAAATGCAAAAATATTCAAGAGACCAACAAACTGGATGTTCACTCCACTGTAAACAAAGTCAAACTGAGAAGCGTTGTTGGGTGATTCAATCAACTGATTGGCGCACAAAAACTGTTCCCTGTACAGAGTACTGTATATGCCATCAATATGTTAACTAAATTAGAATGACTAATAATTTTAATATAAAAAATACAGAAATATTCAAGAGACCAACTTTCTTGATATTTACTCACTGGAAACAAATGTAAATATAGAACTGATTACTGTATTGGTGGACTGGCCAGTCAGCTGATGCGTACGACAAAATGTGTTTGTCGTAAGGATTTCGTAAATCGAAGTTTTGTTCGTTAATCGAACTGAAAATCCTTATGGGAGCTAATTCGTAAACCAAAATTTCGTTAATCGAACCGTTCGTTAACCAAGGGACCATTGTAATTGCATTCAGTTACAATGAAATATTTATAAAGTTTATGCACAAGTGAGAGACTTGTACACAACAGGAGGATAAATTAATGGTAGTATTGTTAGTTGCTATATTTAAGTACATTTTCTTATACTATTGAAAACCTTGAGTGCTTAGACATTAATCTCACCAACGTAACTGTTCTGCTTCCTTGTTACCTACCACCTGGCCATTTGGTCTGGCAGCATTACAGCTTCTTTCTGTGTTTATTCACTATCTTGACAGCAGAAATGACAAGACTGTAGTTGGAGGATGCTGGTTGATCCAGAGGATGTGTGGTTTTAGATATTTGTTAATGCAGATAGTTCCAGGTACTTGTGACAGAGTAGTGGGTTTTTGTTTGAAGAAGACTCACCTTGTTACATCTTGGCTTACCTGTTTATTGCTTGTTACCTGATTATTGAGAATTGGTGACAATGTTGTTGAGGTGGCTGATGGGTATGTGTATTTCCTAGGGTTTTATCTGGAGGTATATATATCCCTTGTCAAATATACTCTCTGGGAGTACATGGCCCCTTTGTCATTCATCATGTAGCAGTTGTGCCACATAGACATGGTTTCTTGTCACAATAGTTACTGGGTACACATGATTTCTTGTCATGTGCTTTACCTGGGGTCACATATCCCCTCACCATGTGTGGTACTTGAGGGTACATAACCCATATGTGTTACCTGGGAGTACAAGGACCCCTGGAGAACTGGGGGTAGCAGAGGCCAGTAGGGGGGTAGAGGAGTGTGCCCCGTGGACACCTGCAGGCGCCCTTGCCCTGGCTTGGGTTATAGTAGAACTCCTGAGTGTCTCCACATGGGCCCTGAAGGAGGGGGTAGAGGCAACACTTATAATGAGATGATGGAAGTTAGTGGTCAGTGATCTCTTCTTAATGAAATATATAGTACAACAATAAACCAAGTATAAACTGTGTTAGTGATAATGATATGATACAGTATAGTACAGTAAAGATGGTATAGTGATAATGAGTTATTATCTTTGTGCTAGTGAGATAGTGATAATTATGGTGTAATAACAGAGGAGAGGTGTTGAAGGTGAGTTATGAATGAGTCACTTAATTGCCTTTATAAAGATTCTGTGGTTGAGGGTTTTGTGTTTTGAGAGAGTGAGGGAGAGTGAATTAGTGAGGGTGAGTGATTGAGGGAGTAAGTGAATGAAGGAGAGTGAGTGAAAGTGAATGAGTGAGTGGGACTGACCTGAGTAAAGATCCTGTGACAAGAATGGTCGTGGGCCCAGTAGAGGAGCTGCCATGACTTCTTGGCACATGGGTTGAGTGTGGAGTTGACCCACCTGGGGGGTATGACTGCTCCGTTGCTACTGCCCCACCCTGCCCCATACCACCACCATGCCCACACCCATGCCCACACCCACCACCACCACTCACGGCGCCGCATCTTCTTGCCCACGCCTCACTTCTGGGGGTGAAGAAACAATGGGATTAATGTTTACGTCTCGTGTTAATATCTGTGTTGGCTGTCGGTAAATGATCCGTGACACATTTACCCCCCGTGTCTCTACTCTCACCACTATTGTTATCATAACCTGTGAGATTGATCCTTGTGGTGCAACGAGTTGACAGGGATGACTTACATAATGACGCTCGTATTGTGTTAAACGGCCAGGTCATTGTGTTAGTGTTTGCTGTAGTTAGAATGGAGAGAATATTAGTTGTGTGTTGTTTGTGTATTTTATAATAATATAGTATTTTATATATATAGTGATTGGAATAATAATAGTAATAATGGTGATGATAATGATGATAATGGCAATAATTATAATAAAAAAATGTTGTTCATGATAAAAATAAGTGACAATATTCATCCCCATAACCCCTTTTACCTCACCTTACCTCACCCCTACACCTCCCTAACCTCACCCCTACACCTCCCTAACCTCACCCCTACACCTCCCTTACCCCACCCCTACACCTCCCTTACCCCACCCCTACACCTCCCCACACCTCACCCCAGCACCTTTACATCACCCCAGCACCCCCCTTACCTCACACCAGCACCCCCTTACCTCACCCCTACACCCCTCTTACCTCACCCCTACACCCCTCCCTCTTACCTCACCCCTACACTCCTAAGGAGAAATAAGCTGGAGTGGAGATTATTTAGGTGATACACCAGGTCTGTGCTCTGTCAGGTGGTTAACTGAGGCAGCCTTGATGTATGCTGAGGTAATTACTGTCTGGAATGGGAAGAGGTCATCCAGCTGTAACAGTTAAGCGTGTCAAGGACGGATGGACCATGGTACGTGTCCTTGACGTGTCCAAAGAAAGGGAAAATTACCGAAGTGTGACCGTGGGAAACATCATGACAGCAATGACCCGGTTGTGGTGGGGGGTAACACACACACACAAATCAGTTGACATAAGATAGGTGCATCAGCCAGATATCAATAAGTGACCAACCACCTACACTCCATGGTGAGTTAGGGAGAGGTGTGTGACTACCTGCCATAACACAGATCATCTTTCTCGTTAATTCTCGCCGACCACAACTGTTTATGTCACTCCCTCCTTCATTTTTCATTCATCTACATTTCTCTCTCTCTCTCTCAAATTTAGGAAAACAATCTTACTTCCTCAGTCACCAACTCTTATGACACAATGATAGCGGCGAAATTACACCGAGACTCCACCACATCTAGACAATCTCTCCGAAAGTTTCTCTGTTATGGTGCAAGAACCATTGATGGCTGGCCAGGTTATTATTGCATTGGAGTTCAATTTTTACTGCAGTTTAAGAGTCATTGCAAGATATACAGTTAACTTGTATTATATTTAGGATGTATATTACATTTGAGGGAATAGCTATACAGTTTTGACGGATTACCTGGAGCATTTACACCCCAGCTTATTTCACTTAAAGAATAAACGTCGTAATGTTATTGGGGGGGATGAGGTAAGGTTAGGTTAGGTTAACATTAGGGTGGTTAATCTTGAGGTGAAATAGGGTGGAGATGCTGCAGGTGATCCGTTTTGACGGTATACCTGAAGCTTAAGTAAATCAGGTAAACTCTCCTCACACCTTCAGGGGGAAACACTTGTACAGTACCATGACTCAAGCGTAAAGTTGATGAAGTCACTCATCCTCTGTTCCGGGACATTGTGAACCCACGAACCTTTGAGAATACGTTAAGTGGCCTTCATTTGCATAATGTCATACTACCGGCTATTGATTGGTCAGCCGTATCCTCATGTTTCGACCCTGATTGGTTAACCTTGTCCATGTGTTTTGGCCCTGATTGGCTAACCTTGTCTCTGTGTTTCAACCTCTGATTGGTCAACCTTGTCTCCATGTTTCGTCCCTGATTGGTTAACTTTGTCTTTGTATAGTGACCCCGTGATTGGTTAACCTTGTCTCCGTGTTCTGACCCCGTGATTGGTTAACCTTGTCCCCGTATTTGCTGTAGAAGGAATGCAGTAGAGTATTGTATTCCCGAGCTATATTTGGGAGACACAACTGAGTGGCTATAGTAATGGAGCATTTAGTGAGGAATGTGTGTACAGTAATGTCATGGCTCTTGGGTTGTAAGTATGACATTACACATACTGCAATGACTGTTTGTTTGTCGGATTTGTTTTAATATTTTCTTTTGTTGGGCTTATTGTGTTTTTGTTTTGTCAGTTCAAAGGTAATATGCTTAGCATTGTCTTGGTAGTGGATAATCTTTTCTTGTGAAGTGGTGATCAAGTACACACACACACACACACACACACACACACACACACACATACACACACATACACACACACATACATATTTTCTAGTTGACCGTCAAGTTCTCATATAACCAACCATACGTTAATATATTATAGTACTTTATAGTCAAGTAAGTGTAGATGGCTTGGTGGATTTATTTTATTTATATTTTTTTATGAAGTTCATGGCCAAATAGCGCGTCTGACGATAGCCTGCATGTCGGTACGTGTTTACAATATAATTATCCACCTCGTATTTTCTTCAAAGATAGACCTTCCACAGTGGTGCTTTTATGACGTATAGTATCTAAAGAAACTGTGTCGTATAATACATGGATGTTTATGTTGCCGCGTAAATCAGTGAGTCAGTCAGCTCTCGTGTCCCTGACCAGCAGGAACGAGAGCGGTTGTGTTCAGGTACTGTGAAGGTGATGGGAGTTGATCACTGCTTCACGCTCCACGCCCGTATTTATTATGACTAACGATTTTGTGTGTGAGAGAGAGGGAAAAGGGGAAAAAATTACCTGGTGATTATCCTACAGAGAGAGGAGAGGAATACCTGGTAATCATCCTAAGGTCCAGTGGCCGTCATGGTCACCCACCTACCTGCCTGGCTCACGGACACGGGGAGAGGGGGGGTCACTGAAGGTCGCTGTCTGCTGAGGTGGGGCGGTGGGGATTGAAGGTCATTAGGGATGGCGGGGAAGGTAGGGTAGGTGGGGGGGACAGTGGAAGGAAAGGAGGAGACAGGGGAGGGAAAGAGGAAGGAAAGGATAATATGACAGGACGGAGGATGAAAGGAGGGAGGACAGAGGATGATAGGAAGGGATAGGGGAGAGAGGGATGGTAGGAGGCGACAAGGGAGGGAAACGGGGGAAAGGATGTTTTAGGGAAGGAAAGGTCACCTAGGATCAGTGATGACCTGGGCCTTTGTCAAGTATGGGAGGGGAGGAGGAGGGAAGATAGGACGGGGGGGTGGTAGGAGAGGAAAGGTAAGAGGAAGAGAAGGGGGAGGGAAGAGATGGGGAGAGAGGGAGGGAATGAATTATTAGTGGGCGAGGGTAAACGAAATGAGATAAGTCACTAAGTCACCCTCATTAAGTCATTCAGGATAAGTCAACACCAACAGCTTCTCGAATCTTTAAGTTGAAAGTTATCATAAGCTGGTTGGTGGACCTTGGGCAATACGGCTCCAATTAGCCCCCTGAGGATGACGGTCTCTCTTTAGCCTAAGACAGGGGCGACGTGTCGGAGGAAATGGTTGAGAAGTGTGGTCGCTTGGTGTGACCTTAAGTTGACCCCCCCAAGCCACACCCTCCCTGTCTCTCTCTCTCTGTCCAACTTGTCCAACTTGATGCCACACCCTCTCTCTAGTTTATTGCCACCTTCTTTCTTCCCTCCCTCTCTTTGTTGCCATCTCTTTTCTTTCCAGCTTAGGTCCCTTCCGTTGTTGTCCTCCTCCTTTTCACCTTGAAAAATCTCTCTCCTCTCCTCCTTGTTGCCACTCCTCCATTGCCATTCTCTCTCTTCCCCCTTTTCTCCCTCATTGCCATTCCCTCCTTTCTTCCTCTCCCCTCCCCCCCCCCGTTGCCATTTTCTCCCTCCCTCCTCTTGCCATTCCCTCCTTCTCTCTCCCTCCGTGTGCCATCACTTCTCTTTCTGTATTTGCCTTTCCCTCCCACACCCCCTTCCCCCTCCCACACCTCCCCTTCCTCTTCCTACACTCCCAGGACAGTACACACACAAGACCCAGCCGGTAAACCTGACTCCTGCATCGTCTGCTTGTTCTCTCTCTCTCTCACGAGTTTATCATTGAATCGTGTCGCCTCTATTTACCTACACCACCCCTTGCTAGCCAACACCCCGCCCGTCAACCATCAAGGTGTGTCGTTCACTTTCTCTTGCTTACTTTCCCTGCCTCTTCTTTTCTCCTCTCACAAGTTAACACACCTTTAAAGGGCTTACCTGGCCTCCTCTAAAGTTCGTAGGTCAGGTTAGGTTTAATTTACTTGTAATTGGAGGTTTTGTAACGTATTGTCTAATTATTGACTGACACACCTTAGCTATGAGGTACTGTACTCTCTCTCTCTCTCTCTCTCTCTGTTTCATCAATCAAGGAAATTAATTTTCGTATAGACAGCATAAAAAAAATATTCACACAAAAAAAAACACGTCAAGTAATTTCAATAAAACAGACCTCCCAATGTTTAACAAATACCTTATTTTTTTTTGTGGGAGGAGGAGGAGGAGGGGTCATTTTTCTCCCTCGCCAGGTTGATAGAACAAAGGGCCATGTCTGTGTAACTATTAACATTTTACGTTGTATTGTGTTATTTTCACCTGCAGCTGACCCCGGGTATATTGTACTAACTTTAAACTATTATATTTTCACTTGGAACTGACCCGGATATATTGTACTAACTTGTAACTATTAAATTTGCACCAGGAACTTGTTAAATTCATCTCTTGTAAATTTGTGGAATGATTTTATTCTTGTTATTGTTGTCTGTTTTATTCTTTATATCGTTATTATCGTCTGTTTTATTCCTTATATCGTTATTATCGTGTTTTATTCTTTTTATCGTTATTATCTTATTTTATTTTTTATACAACTATCATCTGTGTCGTCTCCCCGGATCAACCTCACCAGACATGACCGTATGAGCACCTCTAAAACCCTCACGTCTGATGTAAAAGTGAAAATGG